TCCTCCCTCTCTCCTAACCTGACTCTCCCTGATGAGGTGAGTGTTTCCCTCTCATCTCCTATCCCTCATAAATCTATCCTTTGATTCCAGAACCAATTTGCCTCGGACGGAGTCTGTCCAGTCGACTGTTACGACCAGTTCCTCATCTACCTGGCCGTCATGTGCCTTCTAAAGTTCGTCGGGGCCACTGGGCGATCTACTGATCTGTTGCTGGTCCTTCGCTGTGTTCCGGCTGAGGACAAAACCATTGCTCTGGGCATTGGCAGCATGCTCTTCTCCGTTTTGAGCTTCATCCCCAGTCCCATTGTGTTCGGCTGGATCCTGGACAGCTATTGTCTGGTCTGGGGCAAGACCTGCAGCACTAAGGGAAACTGCTGGCTCTACGATACCAGCTCTTTGAGGTGGGTACAATGATGAATGATGCATTATCTGAGCATTATATTGGTTTTATTTTTGCTCCAGGTACACAATGAATCTAGTGTCCGCAACGCTCATTTTAGTCGGTAGCTTCTGGCACATTGCCGTCTGGTATTATGCAAAGGATGTCAAAATCTTCGACGATGAGGAGGTAAAAAAAAATCCACAAAAGGAAGAACCAGAAATAACGGAGCTGATGGAAAAACCTAGTAAAAATGATAAGAATTGAGGCAAAAGTATATATACCTAGGAGAAAAAAAAACTAAGCTTTCTTTACGAGTATTATTTAACGGGGGGTAAGGCAAAGCTACTCGTTTATCATCGTCTGTTTATCACAACAAATTTTTACGATTGTTATCAACGCGATCACGCCAGCATTTCGCAAGTTCTGAAATCTGGCGTGGCGTCTACGATAAGGAAGCTCCATCAATTAGATCTCCGTATGATTTATTGGCCAGGCCAGATGTACTCGCTTTGACAGTTACTACAGAAGTGTGGCCCCGTCTGCTCCTCCTGCTGTATCTACTAATCTTGCTGTGAGATAAGATCTCCAAACCAAAACGAGATGCAACGGAGAGCGAGTACATAGCTGGCAGATCAGATAAATTGTAGACGTCTAAGCTCTTAGATTTAGAGTCAGTTCTAGCGAGCAGCTGGGAGAGTGCAGTCTAGAGAATGTGCGACGATCAGAAAGAGGAAGCTCCTGAGATCCTACCCTTTCTATCGAAGGGGAGGAATCCACCTAGAGATGCAGAGAACATAGAAGACGATGGTGATGTTGAAGATACCTCCTGTGGTTTCTGGGTGTTCAAGGGCCGCATTCTGCAGAGGTAATCCCACAAATATACGTGCATCTCCATACAGTTATTAAAGGATTGTTTGGCCATAACGTAACGCAGATTTGCCACGGAGAAAATGTATGTGATTCTGTACGGCTTCGCCGGCTGTGTGATGACAATGACCTTTGCGTATTTCAATGGAACCATAACGACCTTAGAGAAGCGCTATAAAATACCCACAAAGATCTCCGGTATTATCTCAGTTGGCAACGATATCAGCACCATGCTAACGGCCGCCGTCCTGGGCTACTATGCGGGCAACGGTCATCGGCCACGCTGGATGGGAATAGGTGAGCTCCGTACGTCCTTTTCCCAGCTATCTCTCAATATATCCACCGTCAACTAGGTCTGCTAACCATTGTGGCATTCTGTTTGCTGACTGGCTCCCTGCACTTCCTTTATGGAGCCGGCGAGGATGCCCTGAAGCTAACCCGGGAGTACGGCGGTCAGGCTGAGGCCAATGAAAGTTTTCCCGACACGCAAAATGACCAGAAACTGTGCCAGACAAGTGCGTCGGGCTGTGTCCAGGATGTGGGCGTGTGGGTGCCGCAGATTTTTCTGTTTGGGGCACAGCTCATATCGGGAGTGGGCCAGGGCCTCTTCTACACCCTGGGCATAGCCTACATGGATGACAACGGCACCAAGTCGAAGACCCCAGCAATGCTGAGTAACTTCCTCTCGGACGGGGGAGGAGTGCCACACTAATCTTTGACTTATCCCGCCCTTAGGTCTGTCAACGTTCCTTCGGATGCTGGGCCCCGCCATCGGTTACTCCCTGGCTGCCGTCTGCCTGCGAATGTACATAGAACCCACAATGGAGCCGCTGATTTCTAGGGAGGATCCCCGCTGGCTGGGAGCCTGGTGGCTGGGGTGGCTCATCCTCTCGGGGCTGTCATTGATTGCTGCCGTGGTCTTGTTCATGTTTCCCAAGGAGCTGCCCAGTTCCAGGCAGCGAAGGGTGCAGAACAGACAGACCGACAGCAAAACTGAAACGGATATCAAGGAGCTTTCCTGTGCCGACATGCTAAGGACGATTAAGAGACTTGCAGCCAACAAGGTGTACGTGCACAACACAATGGCCTCCATCCTCTACTTCTTCGGGTACATGGCCTACTGGATATTCACGCCCAAGTATATCGAGACCCAGTACAGGCAGTCAGCGGCAATGGCAACTATGGCCACAGGAACCGTTGCGCTCGGGTTCTCCGCCGTTGGCGTCCTTCTCTCGGGATATGTGATCTCCAAGTACAAGCCGAGCGCCCGGGCCATGGCCTCCTGGAATGCCGTTGTGGACTTCATGACTGTCGCTGGTATCCTGTGCTACGTGGCCATCGGCTGTGAGGGCAGCGACAGTCTGAACTCCCTTGCCACACTGTCCGCCGGCAACAGCTGCAGTGCCTCCTGCCACTGCGACTACGTTCACTACGCTCCCGTGTGCACTCCCGAGAACATCACCTACATATCCGCCTGCCACGCAGGGTGTTCGGACAAAGCCAAGGATGACCTGGGACGGACCACTTATACAGGTTGCAAGTGCATGGCCTCCTCCACCCTATTATCTGACCCTGAAGTGTGACATATTATTTTCTAACATTAATTCTTGAGTTAATGAACATTTATTTCCGATTATTGCAGACACAATTCGCCTTGGACGGGGCCTGTCCGGTGGACTGCTTCAATCAATTCCTCATCTTTCTGTCCGTGATGTGCTTGCTGAAACTTGTGGGGGCTTCCAGTAAGTCAACCAATCTGCTCATTGCGCTGCGCTGCATACCGCACGAGGACAAGACGTTCGCCTTGGGTCTGGGCTCCATGGCCGCTTCCTTGCTGGGCTTCATTCCAAGTCCCATTTTCTTTGGCTGGCTCATCGACAACTACTGCCTGGTTTGGGGCAAGACGTGCTCCAATAAGGGCAACTGTTGGCTCTACGACACAAAATCTTTGCGGTAGATATAAATGTACACAAAGTCCCATCAGAATTGTGTCTCACATACGAATATTTCTGCTTCCCCTTTTAAGTTATGCTCTGAATCTCACTGCGGCAGCCTTCATATTTGTGGCCGGCTTCCTCAACATCTCAGTTTGGTATCATGCCAAGGAACTCAAGATATTCGACGAGGACAAGACAGTGGAAAAAGATTTAGAGCTAACCAAAATAAAATCTCAAGATAATGAATAAATTTTGCTTACATTCCCATCCGAGTGGTTTCTCGAAATTGAGTAGCTTTGCATCTCCTGGCAACTGGCAACAATCAGTTCTAAATTAACAGTTCCCCATGTGACATTCGGTTTTCCCTTGGACTAATTTTTCCGACCTTCAACATGTCCGGGGTGGGGAAAAGTTGTCAGCGCTTGTTCGAGAAGAATGCCTCAGAGAAGATGTGCCCGAGGGACTGCTTTGAACCGCCGGACGGACCCTGCCTTGACTACAAGCTAGTGCTGCCGCCCGAGGACACGGTGGATCCGGATGTGGAGGTGATACAGGTGTCCCTAAAGCCGGACGGGCCGGTGCGCAAGGAGATCGACATCAGAGCCGAGTGCAGCAAGAGCTGCGGCAGAAACAGCGACGAGGGCAAGGATAAGGAAGAGTACTGCACCTTGTGTGCGGCGCAGGAGCGGGATATACGTCCCAATCTGTGCTCGGCCCAGTGCAGACCGCTCCAGACCAGTTTGCACCTGAACGAGGTACGGTACCCGTTGGCGTTCGGTATCCTTCCATCATGTGTCCCTCTCCTTCCGCAGCACACTAAGCGACCCCTGCCCAAGCCAAGCTACAAGCACAGCGTCATGCTGGACGACAATACGATTGTGGGGCGCTGCTTCCCAATGCTGTTCCGACTGCGGCGCATAAAGAACAAGTGCCTAAGCTGCGGCAGGGATCTCCTCTTCCGGCATCCCATCACGGCCAGCCAGAACCTGCTGCTGCTCTCCAACTGCTGCGATGTGGAGGTGTATCCACACCAGAAGGTCGAGAACCTGAACAACGTGCCAGTAGGGATGATAACCGGGCCAAAGCGCTTCACCAGGCGGCTGTTGAAAGACAGGTCAGAGTGCCGTTTGTTTGCCCTGCCCCCGCCAGAGCCTCCAACAGTGATCCGTTTACCAACCATGGCGTCCGCTTCGCCAGCAAAGGGTAAAAAAGGAAAAAAGGGGAAAAAGAAGGGCAAAAAGTAGTTGGTAGCCCATCTCAGTGCATATTGGGTCAGAACAAATTCAAAAATTCAACTAAAACTGTTTAAATGAAATTATTCCGGGGCTACCCCACAAGATTTTACATGAAGCACACAATGAATTGAATGGAATTAAGCTAATGAATTGGCTTAGCTTGAGTTCAACTTGAGCAAAAGAACCCAATTCTTGAGTGAAACTCAAGCCAAAATAGTTAAAGCTGAAAGCGAACCAAAATAAAGCTGAGACTTTTTTGAGAGAAAGCTTCTTCAGACAGCTTTTAGGACAGAGCACTTTCTGTCCACTTTTCTCTCCACTTGTGCTAAATTGATTTTTTTTTATATCTTGCGTGCATTTAATTCGAATTCAGTCGCAATGCATAAATAACACATGGCGACAAAATAAAACTTTTGGAGCGTACTGTGCAGGAGTCGAAAACTTGAACTAAAACCGATTACTTCGACTTTTTCAAAATGAATTTACTTTTTTAGAAAGATATTTATTTGCAATTCAATTAAAATTGAATTCTGAAATGAAAAAAACTTGTACGAATATGTAGTAGTTAATTGCTTTATTAATTAGCCAAGGACAAATGTACGGTCGGACAGTGTGATTTATATATCAGCTTAATTCGTTAATCTAGCATAATTTGAGAGCTTTTTAATCGCCACGGCACTCTGAGTCCGAGTTTTGGCTCAGTATAAAAGATTAGTTTGACGGGAGCGATCGAAATGGCTAGCGAAGAAACAGAATCCTCAGAGTTCCTGAAGGACAAAATAGTGCCTGAGCAGCAAAAAGATACTTCGGATACTACATGTGGTTTCTGGAGGTTCAAAGGTCCCACCCTGCAAAGGTATCCGATCTCATCTCCAGTCTTGTTCTGCCTTACTTACGATTAAGAATTCTAAAACAGATTTGCTAGTGAGAACATATACATGGTTATCTATGGGATTGCTGGCTGCTTTCTGTCCATAGCCTTCTCGTACTTTAACGGAACCCTCACCACTTTGGAAAAGCGTTACAGAATACCCACAAAGATCACAGGAGTCATTACGGTTGGAAATGATATAAGCACAGTTTTCTCATCGGCCTTCCTAGCTTACTACGCCGGTCGGGGACATCGACCGCGATGGATAGGCTTTGGTAAAAGATTCGCAATCCTTTTTCAAGTTACATTTTCATCAACAAAATATTTCCGATATTCTGAAATGTAGGTCTCGTTATTTTGGCGGTATTCTGCCTGCTCATGC